GTTGTATAGTTTCTTGTAGAAAAAAAGTATGGGCAGAACATCAATTAGAAATGTGCAGTTTGTGGGTTTTTTTTGTTTGTTTGTTTTTGTTTTACTTTGTTGTTGTGCATTATTTTTTTTGCCACCTGGTTGTACTAGGACTAACATGTAGCTTTGCTGCACATCTTATTTTTGTAGAGTTGCACTTGAGTATTTTCAGATTAAGTTCAATAATGTTAGTGTCACTGTCTCATTTTATAAAGGCTATTTACTCTGTAATTTGCAGTTTTGATGCAGCCAAAATACAGATCTCTCTTTGGACTGCTGATGTTGACGCAGAGACCTTTAATTCTTCCAAGTGTTTATTATCTAATAAAGCCATGGTTGTTTAGTTTGGCCTTAGTGTTGGAGCTGTTACTGAGTGACATAGGGAACTTCTTGTTGGGTAGAAATATAAAAAAAATTGCTTAGAGATTGCATGACCTCTGTCTTTGACTCCACCTAGTGGAGCATTTTTGGTATTGCTTCTTTTCTTGTGCAACAAGCCGGAGGAACAGTGACCAGGTGTTGTGAGTTGTAGTCAGCCGATTGCTCCAGCTGCGGCGAGGCGTGGCTGGCCGTTCACTCTCCAGACTTGCATTCAGTGTTTAAGATACCAGCAAGCCACAAGTTGACACCGGATCATTGTAAAACCCTTTTTTGCTCTTGTTTGTATGCTCTGCTTAGTACCATGATTCCTGTTCTTACCCTATTTTCCTGTGCTTCAGTTTCGCCACGTTTGCTGCCAACCTGTGATCCACTCTTCGTTCCTGATTACCCACCGTTGGATTCCTCTGGCTCCAGCCCTCCATATCCTCTGTGTCCCTCTGCTGAAGTCATCTGGTCCACCTCCCTCTCCTCTGGCTCCCCCTCACTAGTTTCTCATATTCTAGTCAACCTTATCTCTCGCCTACTCAACCAGTAGTTTTTACCTGTAGGTTTGTATTCATTGCGGTAAGTTTTTGAAATAATTCATAAGTATAGTTCAGCGTCCTTAAGAGGACGTTTGGTAATATTTCTAGTATTAAGTGTTTGTTAGTAGGAGCTTATTTCACCGGTCCGTTTGGGAACCTCAGTTTGTCTTTTTGAATCTTTGTTTGTCAATATATTGTGCCATTGATTCAGCATTCTTGTGATTGAATCTTTTGTCTGCGCTTGAGGCTTTGCTTGCCAAACTGTGACAAGAGCTTAAGGGGTGATGGGTGGGATTTTAGTGTTCATTCAGTAAACTGAGTTCACCTTGAATCACAAACTGATTTAGCAACAGGCTATATAGCAACCTTTTACCACTTTCTGTGGTTGAACTCTGGAAGTGTCTCTTTAATGAAAAAAGATTTATTAAGTCTGTCATGTGATTTTACTGCTTGACGTTCTGGGCACACTTTGAGGCAGTTTGAAGCCAAGTGTGAAGCATGAAAGTCAGTACCTCCAAATCTTTGACTATGGTTTTGTGTCAAATCATTCATCCATCCATTATCTATACACCACCTAATCCTCACTCGGGTCACAGGGGAGCTGGAGTCTATCCCAGCTGACTCAGGGTGAAGGCAGGGGACACCCTGGACAGGTAACCAGTCTATCACAGGGCTACACTTAGAGACAGACAACCAAGCACACTCACATTCACACCTACGGACAATTTAGAATCACCAATTAACCTCAACATGTTTTTGGACTGTGTGGGAGGAAGCTGGAGAACCCACGCTGCACGGGGAGAACATCAAAACTCCACGCAGAAATATCCCAGGCGTCCTAACTGGGACATGAACCACCGAGCCACTTTGCAGCCCTGTCAGAAATCAGTGGTGCTCTGTTTGGCCTGATCCAGTGTTGCTGCTCCAAAGGAGTTGTCTCGTCAGCCAGTGTTTCGCTGTACATGCCCATGGACACTGACGGTGCCGTCCGTATGTGTCATCTCTCCGACCCCTTTTGCACTCAGGCAGCACCATGTGGTCACACAGGGAGTCTCTCTCTCTCTCTGTCCCTCCAGGAAGGTAAGAGCAGTCATCAGTAGGAGTGTGTAGCTCCGTTGTTGGTTATCTTATTTTAGTGTGTATGATACTTTATTGTAACCCTTGTAAGCCTAATTCAACATATATGAAGCCAACTGGGGCTACAAGTCAAAGAATTTGAGAAATGGAATGCAGTCAGTGAGTCTGAAGTGATTGTAGTATACAGACGCTTCTATCTGGAAGGTCCAGTCACCAGTGAGTCAGTCCTCCTGGCTACAACCATAAAGACTAAAATACACTCCAAGCTACTCAGTTAAAGGGTTTTAAAAAGCATAACTTAGAGGATGGATACAAGAAGATGTCCAAGTCACTGAATATCCCCTTGGAGTACAGTTAAGTCCATCATTTAAAGATGGAAAGAATGTGGCACGTCTAGCAGACCGTCCTCAAAAACTAAATGGCTGTGCAAAAAAAGATATGAGAGGCCACCAAGACACCTACTGACTCCTAGTTTAAAGCTTCAGCAGCTGAGATGGGAGAGACTGTACATACGACAGCTGCTGCCTGTTCTTCACCAGTCAAAGCTTTATGAGGGAGTGGCAACGAGAAAGCCACTGTTAAAAAAAAAAACAAAAAACTAAGCAGCCTAAAGAACATTCCTCCAGTAGACTTCAGAATTTCCCACATGCCTTCTGGTGAACTCTAGTCTATATTTAATATGAGCTTTTTCAACCGTGGCTTTCTCTTTGCCACTATCCCATAAAGGTTCTGCTGGTGAAGAACTTCATACAACAGTTGCTATCTGCAGTCATAGCTGTCTTAGTGGCCTCCCTCACTAGTCACTAGTTCTAGCCAGGAGTGACTAGACCCTCCAGACACAGGTGCCCTTATACAACAACCACTTGAGACCCATTCACTGCACTCCAGTTATCTCTGTCTCACTCATAATGTGACTTCTAGCACCTGTGTTGGATTAGGTGAGTCACTTTAAATTGGTTGAATCTTTATTTTACATTTTATATTTTTAATTAACTGACATCACTTTGTAAAGAATCTGTTTTTATTTTGACAATGAGTATTTTTTTCTCAAGTTCTTACAAGAGGGGATCCTGTTTTATAGGCACTGTAGTTGCCTAAACTGGCTCCGGCTACCTCCAAACACATTGTTTGCAGGGATCACGAGTGTGATCTGATGTGTTTTGCACTGTGCATTTTAATGTCTTGTTTGCTGTTTTTGTATACCATCTGGCACATTATCACATTCTCCTTTAAAGGAGATTTTCCTCTTGTTTATCTCCCTAATCTTTTAGATATCTTTTTCTGAGCCTCGTTACTGCTTATTAGCACATGCTCCTTTGCCTTATCTCTTGTCATTGCACGTCTTTTGTTCTGATCAAAATGTTATGGGTTTATTAAAACTCTCCAATATGAACTAATGTTCAACATGTTGCTGGTTCAGTTCTAACATGTTTCACTCATGGAAATCTGGTGTCTGGAATCTGGAGGTTGTGCTAAATTGTGTCATTATCCCCTAAACAGATGTGCAGTATTGATTTGTCCTTTTTTTTAATGTTACAGCTGTGGAAATCAGTGGAAAAGCAGTTGTTCTGGGGTATTCCAAGCTTCATTATTTTAATTTCAACAGATGTGCCTGTTTGAGAATCGGAACGACAAACTCACATATTATAATCACTTTGTTAGAGCGGCCCGGATTTGAAAGACAATTCCATATGAACATAAACATTAAAACCTGGAACACCAGATGTGTCGTCTCGCCTGTCCTCTGAACGCTTGTCTATTGTGTTTTAAGCCTGTCAGTTCACCACAATACAATAAGATGTCAGTGAAGTTAGATTTATATTTGTCTATGATGTATTCCTGGATTTTAACGTTTCTCTTGCTTGATAAAAACAACTTATTTTTGGTACAGGCTGTTTGGCAAACACAGCGAGACAATGACAGAGATTAATGTGCACTGTCTGCTCCGGCAACAAGAACAAAAATCTACAGCTTAACAGCCTATAGCGGTCGCAAGGGGCAATAATGTTTTCAACTACAAAGTATAAATGAAATATGTGGAAACATTCGTGTGAGTAAGAAAAAATCAATATAAAATGTCTTACTGTGGACCAGCAAAACCAATTTGTTTGTGCAAAGCTGGACATGTGAACACAAAGGTAATCGTCAGAAAGGATTCTGTATATAAAACAGATAAAAGAGAATTACTTGCTGGGTTTTGCTGTTTGGACTCATGATATTAGTATTTCTCAAATTCTTGCTCAGGCCCACGATGAGGCACCATCCGTCAAAGATATTCGTATTGATATTTTGATATGAAGACAGAACACTGTCTGGTGTGCTCCAAGAGGTGCTGTGTGCTATTTATGGAAGCTTTCACTTTAACTTAACAGTAGCTGGTGTTCTGAAATCCTCACTATCAGTGGATCATGTTGATATCTATTTCACAAAGGGTTTATCCTCTGCACGCTAACCATTTTCATACAGCTGTGAATCAGCTTGTCATGTTTTCCGGCTTCGTCAGATCTGTAAATCATATAAGATACTATCAGATCCACAACATCCTACTCATTTACTATTGTGACAAAACTCTTGAAGTGTCATTCATCTAAAGGAAGAAAATGCGGACCCTATCTTTCCTCTTACATCTTTTTTTTTTTTTAAGGTATTAAGTGTCATAAAATGTAAATGTAGATATTGTGTTTTTGTGAAAAAAATACTAAAATACAAGATAAACGTTTCTGAGTGTTTGTTTTGGTCATTATTTTTGTCAGTTGTGCGTCTGAGTCCATCTGACTTACTGCCTATCTACGGCTTGTGGCTGCTCCTGCTAAAGTGGAAGTGTTGCATTATGAATGGGCAAGCAGATAACTTACAATGCAGTCACTCAACACTGCAAACCTGAGATGTTCTCACTTATCCATTTGACACAGCTCACATGTGTAATATGATTCTTAGTGATAGAAACAGAAGACATTCAACATGTCCAAAGTCACGCTTGCAAGTTCTGTTTTACTTCTTCTGAAACCTTTGGGTGACTCTGTCCTCCAGTGCTGCCCGCAACTCAGTTTTCTGTCAGAAAAGAAGAACATTTGAGGGTTTACTAATCTACAGCATGTAGAAATAATGTTCAGCATGTCACAAGTCAGCACTCATTACATTAAAAATGATGCCTGAACTAGACTTGATAAATAATCCATTCATGAGAAGTACACAACTGTCGATTCCAGGATTGAGCTGCTGCATATTGTATCATCTGCATCTGTTTCTCAAAGTCAAGCTCAATGTGATTTCTAACTGAAGCTGATGCCTCCACACGCTCATTTGCATAAGCTGCACACGGTCAAATGTAGTTGTACCTTAATTTGCATATTGCTGAGCAGCGTCCCACTGTTCAACAGCTGGTTATGCTGCCATCCCCAGCCCACCTCCCCCACATAGCTCTGCCTGGGCATGGGTGGGTGGGCTAGTGACGCAGCTCGGCACAAGTAACTGAGGTCACCTGTGGCCTCAGGTGAAGCATCGCCCACGCCGATGTACGTGGAAAAATAATTAGATCTGGGCCTGTAGTCTCCAATTCCATCCGGACCTAGTCAGAATCAGTACACATGTGAGAAAAGAAAGTCAAAACAATATGCAGATGAACCCTTTATTTACAACTGTAATTTTGCATTTTAGGTAAAATATGAAAGATGCCATCTATTTTACATTTAGCTTCTGGGGATTTACTATCTTTCAAAAGGTATTGTAGTAAAAGTTTGTTGTGTTTTTTTGTTTTTTTAATTTTTCATTGCTTTTTTTTTTTTTTTGGTTTAGTCTATATCATGAATAGTAAAAGTAAGATGAAGGATATATGTATTATTAATGGATCGGACACACTGAAGTGTTCTCTTTGACATAATACCAGCAGAATAGAACTATATATACTGTACACTGACACCAAACTAGACAATCTGCAGATTACAGTGTAAAAACACGTTGTGAACAATGTCATGCCCAAATACATACAGGCACAGTCAGTTTGTTTTTTGTTCTGATGACAGTGCCATCATGTGTCCAGTTACAGGTATACTTGCCTGGATGTTGACCATATTCGTGGAAAATAAACAGTTTGAAACACAACAACAGCAGGCTACATTAAAGCTGTTCTGTAATACATACTTTTCTACCAACTGGTACTGATGACAGTAACACAGTTGGAGATGCAGCTATAGAGACACTGTGTCAATTCTAATTTCAAACTTCATAGACTCAGTTGGAGGAGACGGTGAAAGCTCTTCCTCCATATGCTTCTCCTACCTGTAAAAATCGTCCTTTGACCACGCTGTGGTCCTCCTGCAGGTGTTTCATTGTTTTGCATCATTATTTCCTGCTGTTATGTTTGGAAAATGTTTGGATTAGTTGTAGGCAAGATTCACCTACATAATGGGCACCCGAGGGTGATAACGTGAGCCCAGCGGTCTGTTCTGTCCATGGGGTCATGGCCGGTTGTCATGCAACCACTGGTTGTCATGGCATCATTGCTTGTGGCCCAGTTACATTCTTAAAACTAGGAATGATTCAGCTGTTGAACCATGTCCACTTCATAACGTATCTGATTTGAATTTCATCCCAGATTACTCCTTGAAATGAATTAACATCAAGGTAAAAGTGGCATAAAAACATATATTTAAAAAAATAAAAATTAAAAGCACTGGAGTAACATAGAAGTATCTCCTCTTTGTGTGCTATACACGCTTTGTTAACTGCATAGTTAATGGAGTGAGAAGCTACACAGCATAACATATTTATATCCTTTACGGACACTAGATGTAAGTGCCCATCGTATCTTAAGTTTTCTGAGAGAAAAATCACCTGAAAATAACTGAATTTAGAGCTAATCTTGTAAAAAATCTGTTAGAATTTTGCATTCATTGTGCACTGCCTTAAAAAAAAATTACATTTTTTCATGTGAAGCTAGTTTAAATACAGCTGTATAGATGACTTTTGCAATGCCATCGTGTATCTTATCACATTTACATATTTTAAATTGAAATTCTATATGGTACGTCCCATTATAGTATATGCCTGCTGTATGCCCTCTTCATTAGATATTAATAGACAACTAGGTAGTTAATTTGCTGTATTCATTTGAATATGTTATCCTCCATTAAATCACATGGTGGCGACAAAGCATCACTTTTGCCACAATACACCACACATTCCCTGTTTTTTTTTTTTTTTTTGTTAAATGGACTCGCCCATGATGAGCCGCCTTCTTGTGACTACATCTGTCAAGCGCGACGCACGTAACAACGGCTAGAAATGAAATGCAATGATTTTTCCTTCAATATATAATACTAAACATGTCTAGTTAAAATCAAACATATTCTTGACTGACTAGAAAAGCTACACTGAGTTAAGAACAAAGAGAACCAAATATACTAATGAATTGCTGCATCATACTGTAGGGTAGATTATAGTAGAGTGCAGTCCATTGCATGTCATTAATTTCAAAGTAATGTGAAGCTACATTGATTTGGCATCTGTTATGGATTTTATTGTTATTATTATTTGCACAAGTACGTGCAGCCAAAACAGTATTTTAGGAAAATCACATCAGTATGTGCATTTATGTATAACAGACCCCTGGACCTTTAACATACAGGAGTTGTGCCAAAAAGAAGTCATCTGTTTGTTTTCCAGTTTATATGTGTCTGGAGCTGATTTTAACCTGGATTGAAGTGTAAACACACATATGAATATGTCTGTGGTGATAGTAAAGACGTTACCGTGTTTGGTAACTGCATCATAAATGTTTGTTGTTCATCAGGCATGACGTTTAGGATTCTGCTGGAGCTGCAACGATTAATGCTTTAGTTGACAACTAAGAAATAAATGACAAGCTATTCTAATAATCAATGAATGGCCTGAATACTTGTTTTTTTTTAAAGTCTAAGTTCTCAGATTCCAGGAGGTTTTGTGACATTTTATACTCCAGACAGCGTACTGCTCTCTAAACAGTTATTTAGTTGCAGCCCTAGATTATTGGCAATATTATAGCATTTCTCCTGATGTTTAGGCTGTATATATATTTAGTCATCTATGTCTAATGTTCTCGTTTAGACTGATGACTATTATGCATATAATCATATGAGCTGTAATTAACCCTACTACTAGCTTCAAATTCACTGACATCTTTTATCCTTGGGTTCAATTTGACCCTAAAAACTTCAACTTCCAGAAAATGTCATAATTAAAATAGTTACCCCCGTTTATGTGTAAATAGCCCTTTAAATAAAACTGAAAAAATATGTCAGGGACTCATTTAGAGATGTCAACATAGAATGGGGTCAAATAGACCCCAAAGATAATAGGAGGGTTAAAATGGAATAATCTAAGCCATTTTCGTTGCACTAAAATCACAATGTTGGAGCTGCAATCCGTTTTTGGTAGGTGGAAAATTGCATTATGTGAGTCGATCTGGTCGTTTAAAGCTATTTAACAAAATGGATTGGTTGTGATCCAGTGTACAGAACAGGTAAAATAATGCAGATACATATTGAATAATTCGTTTTTGCCAGATGGTCCGTCCCCGTCTCTTTGCGTTTGGCGCTAAAGACGCCGCGGGAGGTTTATTTTGAAGGGCTTCCGGTGGAGCTGCCGCCGCTAACGCCGTCCGCCTTGACGCTGGTGTTTCAGTCACCATGGTGGCACACAACAGAGCACAGCGGCGGCGGACCTATCTTCACTTTTAGCGCTATTAAAATGCTAATATAATGAATTTAGGCAGCGAGCGCACCGGGGTCTACCTCTCGCCATGGACGCCGGGTTGCCGTTGACGGGTTAGCCGCTTAGCCGTTAGCTCACTTTTTGTTGTTCGCTGGATCCTACATGGAATTCGTGTCCGTCGCTAGCAGAATGCTGAAGAGACAAGGCACGGCTTTGATGAACGCTGGCTTGAATAAAGGGACAACAGTTTTAAGAAAATAACTCCGAGAGACAGTTTGAGATTTTAAAGGAAGTTTTTTCTTTTTCTTTTTTCTTTTCTTTTTCTCTCCTCTCTCTTTCCCTCTCCCGGCGGGGGGACTGCTGTTTGGGCGGCCGGTTTCGGCTCGGGCAGTGGAGAGACAGACACCCCCGAGGAGACCGCTCGGCTGTCTGGCTCCGGTCGTGGCCTGGCTTCGGGCACTCCCAGCTTTATCCGCTAGCATCGGAGCACAGGCGACAAGAATAAAGCAAGACAAATACGGGACGCTTCTTTTGCGTATATCCTACCCCTGGATATTCCTAAACAGTTTATTAAGGATAAGGAACTCATTTTCCTCCACACGGCGTCTTCCAAAACAATGGCGTCTTATGTGGATAACAGCTTTCGGCAGGCTGTGATGATGAATCCGGCTGAAAGGACGCAACAGGTCAGGAGATTATTTACGTTTTACTACTAATGCTACCTGCCTTCACAAGTGTTTGCTTCCTCTGTGTTTTTGCCGCTCGGTTGCTCCATCGGGACGTTGCAACATTGCCGACGTTGCAGCGTCCCGAGCTGCAACAGTTTAGCGGTTGTTTCTGTGTGCAACTGTTGCCACCGAGCTGCTTGAAGCGGCTACATCCCGCTAAGCCGTCTATCAGCGCTGATAATCAAGGCTACTTAACATAACAGGAGCTGCAGCCACGGTGGGGCTCTAACCTGCCCCCGAGCTTCAGCTTGAGCTTCCTTTTTTTTTTGTTTTGCATTTGTGCACTTTGCAAAAAACGTTGTCTTTGCAAACTGAGTTTTTGCATTTTGCAATTCAACAAAAAAACAAACAAACAAAAAAAGGTCAAGATGAGTAGCCTACATGAGAGGCACCGACCAGGGCTAATCCTAAGCTAGCCAGTAGCCTACTGTTGATGCTCCATCCTATTATTCCTCCTTTGTTGAAACACTTGTGTATTGAAAGTGGCCTCACGATGTTTCCCTTGTTGCTCTGTTTCCTGTGACACAGTAATACAGAATAGATGGAATAAGAAATCTTCTTACAGCACTGTACCACCTCAGGATGTTCCTGTGAGGAACTTTGGAGGGCCAGTCAGAAGGCTTGTGAACATGCAGATCCTGTGGCCTGTGGTTATTAACCCATCAGCCACACGCATCCAAGCTTGCATGACTTCAGACATTTGCAGTTATGCTTTGCATTATTGCTAGACCAAATAGAAATCCAGTTTGGCAGTAGAAGATGATATCATTTCGTCTGCGCTCTGTCTCTGCTGCAGGCGGATGCTGCTTTAAGCAAAGGCTTTGCACACAAAGGACAATCAATAAGCCACCATTTAAACCAGTGGGCTACAGTTAGTGGCACAGCCTCTGCCCGTCTATCTGACATTGAGGAAACAATTATTGTGTCATTGGTGGCTTGTTAAGCGCCCTAGGCCCGTGGTCTTTACAGCTTTATGGAAGCTATAATTTGTGCGAGTGACAGATGCCATCATGGAGATAGACAAACATGAGAGGAAAGAATGTGGCTTGTGTCAGTAGCATATGTTCATCAAAGATGGGTGCAAGCATGAGTGTGTTGAGATAGGGCCACAAAGAAGATTAATAATAAGATAATAGGTGATTTTCTTGTGTGTCTCATTTTGAAGTGAAAAAACACATCTATAAATGTTCAAGCAGCAGTTTTTAAATATACATAGAGACTAAATTCATTGTCTGCAACGATAAAACCTCGTTTTAAAGGAGCTGTAGCTTAAAATGTTGGATTGATTTGATATTGTCAATCATCAGAGCATATTGCTTGTTTTGTACTTTTGGCTATTGCAGTCTAATTTTTGTTTCCCACAGATTTGTCTTGATAGGAAATAGTTATTGGTATGTTTTGGCAGTCTGTAAGATGTGTGAGACCCACCTGTAAGAATTAGCTTTCACTGGTAAATCAAAGCCAGAATGCTGTCTGAGGTGTCCCAAACCTGCCAAGAATATGCAAGAGGAAATTAAGTACTTGGAATGTCTGAGCTGGAACATGGTCAGATTAAAACACTTAAATAAAACACGCCCTTTTGGAAGATGCAGGTATAAATCACTGGTGTGTCTGAGGTCCTTTGACACCTCGGGGCCATGCTGTCAGCCCATGCTGTGTCAGTATGCAAACATTTCATTCCAGAGGTCTTTGAAATGAAGAGGAATGAGCAGAGGTTAACTTGGACAGTTGGGCAATGATCAAATGACTGTGGGAAAAGTGTGATGTGTCCTAACAGGATCTGATTCTTTAGAAGTACTGCATCCATGTTTTTTTTTTCAGTTTAGAAGAACTCCACACCTTTTTCCACCTTTATTCGGTGTGATGTTCCTGGTGTTGAAAATCACGTGACTGTGCCTGTGTTGGTCTTCATGTGTGTGTTTCTCAATAGCAACACCTTTCTCGGTGCTCTTTTCAAACGTCTAGCGACTGTGGCGGCTCACACAGTTTATCCTAATGGTGTTGGCAGGGCCTCTCTGTCGGGATTAGCTCGTGGTTAGAGGGATCTCTCTTTATCTCTCAAGACTCACCACTGTGGGGTTTGACCCTCTGACTCACTCCATTGTCACATGGCAGGTTGAATAACCTGACCGCTTGGCAGGTAGTGTTCTCGTTGGCTTTGCCACTTTGCTTTTCATGATTTTGGAATGTAACTGGACTGATATTTTGACAGCGGACAGAGGTGGGGGCAGACTGATAGTCCAGAAAGCAGATAAGAGAAGGAGACATCGTTTTCTGTAGAGCACTGCTGCACTTCTTCTTCTTCTTTTTTTTTTTAAAGGCAGTCGTGATATGAATTAAGATAACACGACTTGGCTATTTGATCTTTAATATCGTTTTCACATCCAAATTAAATTATGTAGTACAGAGAGAATTACATTTCTTCAAATAAAATGCTATTTCCTGAATGTGCGGTGTGGTTCTCAGGAGTACGCTGTTGTGATGTTTGTCACTTTTCACTTTGTTTTTAATCCAGTAGCTTTAAAATAAAAATAAAAAAATCTCCTTTGATATTATTGTGATATTATTGTAAATCAAACCCCTTTGGGCTTTGAGTTTTGATTCGATTAAACAAGCAGGATTTCCCCATTTGTTTTGTTTTTTATTTAAAAGCGTCTTGAGCATGTGAAGTGATTACTGAGGGCAGCGTTTGGTGTGAATTGGCATTAATAACATCTTTGTTTGTCAGATCACTATAGCGGGGCATAAATACAGAGTCTTTCTTGATTTGAATTGCACATTTCTTTATTTCCTGATTAAACCACTGAGCATGGACAGAATCAAGACTGGACCACCTACCAGGAATTATTGAGTGAAATCAATTTCTTTAATGCTATAGAAACAAAAGATCTGCACACGCTTGGCTCTTAAGGGTTCCTCTGATTTATTTTCCGCAAGTAGCTAGACCCAAGACAGACATCTAGCCAGGTGGCAAAGCTAAAGGCCACAAACAGCAGTCTTCCGCTGTGGTGACCCTGCTTCTCAACGACATAGCTGGAAGGACAAGCTGCCTACTTTACATTGTTTCCACATATTCTAGACCAGCACAGGAGATCGGTGCAGGTCATAGTGACCTTACTTGGAGATAATAGGGGAAAAGCAAATACATTTTGGGCATTTAATGGTGGATCAGGTCGATGGTAGAGGCTTGTGGTGAGTAAATCTTTAGGTTTAGTTGGTTATTTGGTTGTTACTGAGAGAAACTGGCAGTGAGGAGTGTAAAGATCTAGCTGTTAAATCAGATTATTGAAATAATAACATATATTTCTGTTAGAATGTACAGAAAAAAAGGGTTAGGAAAGTAGCCGGAAGCCAAACACAACTGGACTCTGCCCTGTTATTGTGTTTTCCAAAGTGTTTAAAAGAGAACAGTATTCACTTTCAGAATAAGTTGAGATTCAATTTATTATTTTTTAGCATAGGTCTGCTTTCGGTCTGAAGCTTTGTTTACACCACATGAGAGAACTTTGCTTAAATAGTTTGCTTATTGCATACAAATCTTAGCACCCACCCAGTGTTGTATTATAATATTGAGTTTTTTATTGATGTACTGACAGTACTGAACCATGCCATTAGCTTCAGCTATTCTACTGCATAGACGGTGTTCATATGCAATTAATATATATATAAAAGAACATTTCCGACTGGGATGACAGTGCCCATGAAACTGATAAGGGTTGCTATTATGGTTCGTTATTCATTTAGCTTTTACATCCCTGCTAAATTACATGAAAGCTGATAATCAACCTGTACGGGAAGCATTTGCCATGAGTTGTAAAATAACTGATGTGCACCGAGCTGCCCAGTTTCTCGGCATCCTGCTCAACCATCAGGAAGAGGAAGAACGTCAGGATGCTTCTTGAACGTAAGCAGGAAGAACGTCTTAGAACCTCTGTCGCCCCAGTGCCAGGCTTGGTTGTTGTTTTGCGACTCCTATTTTTGTAAGGGCGTCAGAATCTTGTGAACATCTATTTAGGAACCCTCACTGTCACTGGCTCTAAAAGTAGGATGGACGGATGTGGCGACTTATGTTCTTTTTTTTTTTTTTTCTTCCCCCAACAGGAGTCATAATAATGTGATTTTCCCAGGATACACAAGACTTCCCAATTCTCTAAACTCCAATCTGTCCCGTATATTTAGGCGCCACTTGCCGTGGCGTTTTGTACGCGCTCTGCAGCACGAACCCCGAGGAAGTCAAGTGATGTCACATGTTATTCTTGTGTTGAAAGTGGAGACTGAGTGCGGGCTGAGGTGGTTACACACACCGCGGTCTCAGTGACGTATTCCTCCCAGTTTAAATACAGGGAATGATTTCAGGAAGGAAAAAAGAAACAAATGCACCAACGTAGGATGCCCACACAGAAGACCAGCTTCTGACTGGCTCATTTGAATCATGCTTTTAATTGCCTCTTAGCTTTTTTTTTCATTACACCGTGATGGCAATAAAGCATAGCTCCTGGTCAGTGGACTATAAAAGGTATTGATTGTTTTATTAAAAAGGATGAATTCTCCAGTGTTATAACTGTACAGGGAGCAGCTTGTGAAAAGGTCAGTCTTAAATCAAACCTGTAATCTCTTTTACTGCAAGAGGATGGCGTTTATGGTTGGTTTACACTTAATAGTTCAGATAAACGTCTGATATCATGATCAACTACATGCCAGAAAACATTTGCATTCCAGAAACTGTTTTCCTTACTGGGATACACAGAGATGTTTGTGTAGCCGCGTGCGTCAGTTACTCCCTAAAATCTAATAATAAAAAGACCAATCCAGCGTAGTTTGTGTTTGAATGCGCCACTGAGATTGAAGTAAGTCAGACGCACAGTGGCGCTCACCCCATGATGCATCATTTAACACTACTGAAGCACAAAACCAAGCTAAAGCTCTGTAGCGTTGAGTAACAGTGCTGCTTTTCTTCT